AATGTCACCATCCTACTTTGTGGTTATTGCCCTACATGTCTCTGCCCTGGCCCTCCCAAGACTGTTAGCTCATCAGGGCCAGGTCCCCAGTACCCAGGGCACCAGTGCAGGGTTTGGGGTCTGGTGCCCAGTAGGTGGGAGGCAGGTCCTGCCTTCATTCTCTTTGCACTCACGGGCCAGGCTATGGTGAGCAGGTCAGGGACACAGATGGAGATCATCCCTGGCCTGGCCCACCAGCCATCCCTGCCCGAGGCCTGTGCACATGTACCAAGCACGGGGTCAGGCCAAGGTGCCTGGAGCACTGTTGGCCCTGGGTTGGTCAGACCTGGCCGGAGACCCTCGGCCCCTCCTCCTGGTATGGCCTGGGCAAGCTGGCTCTTGTGCTGGGCCTCACCTCTCCCTTGCCAGCTGGGGTAAAGTTACAGCCGCAGCACATGTGCTTCCTGAGAAGGCTCCGTGTGACTCTCCCTGAAGCAGTCCCCACAGCTGGAGGACCTGCCTGAGGGCAGAGGGGTCATGAGGCTGTGCCTCCAGAAGCTCAGGAGGGGAGCAGGGAGAAGCCCCCTGAAATGGCCCTGCTCTGCATCCGGTGCCGGGTATGGCCACTTGTCCTGCTGGCTGGTCCCAGGCTCATGGGGTTCATTCAGGGCAGCTGGAGTCTCACTGGACAAGGCAGGTGACACAGGGGTCCGTACTATCACCCGGAGGGAAACCAGGCCCCAGCTCCAAAGCTTCCCTGTGCAAAGGGCCCAGTGCAAGGCCTGGGTGGCTTGGGCAAGGGTTTGTCAGAGGCCTTGGGAAGCAGAGCTCAGGGCTTGGTGACAGGGTAGTGACTCGTGAGGAGGACAGGTGGGGAGGGGTGACTCACTGGGGCCAGGGGCCATGGAAGCTGCTGGAAAAACAGGTTTGGGATTCCTGCTGGGTTTGGTGGAGCTGTAGGAGTGAACTGGGAGTGGGGTTCTGGGTGTGGGGCCTCAGAGCAGTGGGTTCCCCACACAGGGGCTGGAGAAGGCCCTGAGGGGCGCCTCAGGCTCCACTCTGGCCATGGCATGGAAGCTGAGGCTGCAGCTGGGTTCCAATCCTGTGGGAGGAGGCAAGACTGCCTTCAAGGATGTAAGCTGCCTGTCCCTGGCAGTCTCCCAGCAGAAGCATGGACAGCAGCCCCAGATACAGTTTACTTTCAGGGGAAAGTGGGCGATTCTGATGCCAGGAGCTCTTAGAGAGCTGGGAGCTTGTGGAGGCAGTGCAGTCAGGGAGGGCTTCCTGTAGGCAGTGTTTTGGCTGGGGCCTTGGTGGCAGTTCAGGTTGCAGTGAGGAAAGAGAAGCTATCATGGTCCCCTATGTCAGCCCCCTCCCAACGTCCTGTCACTCGTGAGAAAATGAGGGCAGAGAGGGCTGGTCAGGTGCCACGACACCCCAGGAGTAGGGTGGAAACTGATAGGGTCTCAGGCACTTCTTCCTATCACCACTGGCTCCTCTTCTCCTCCCTCCTCCCCTGGAGACAGTGGCCTCTTTCTAGAGCCTGGCCCCTTTCGCCCAGCCCCTGGGGCCAGGGCCCTGTATCTGACTTGTACCATCAGGAAGTTGGCAGCATACACGACACCCAGGAGAGGCAAGGAAGGGGTATGGGGCAGAGATACCGACCCACCCCCAGTTCTGCCCGCTCCCTGAACTCAGCGGGCTAGGAAGCCAGGTCCGGGAGCAAGCCTGGGCCTCTGCCTGGACCTGAGGTTCCCTGCTCATGCCCCCTGCCGCCTTCCTGCCCTTTCCCCTTGTGCAGTGCCACTGGCATCACACAGGGTGTGGGGACACAGAGAGGGAAGTGCCTGGCTCAGGGTGACACAGCACAATACTCCAGGCCTTCTGAAAGTGCAGCCCTATGCCCTACCCTGGCCTGGAGTGGACACCAAGTGGACAAGTCAGGCCCCTAGGCTGGAAATGCCAGCAAACCCTGGGGCATGGGGAGGGGCTTCTTCAGCCTCAGGTGGCCACATGGCAAATGCACAGTCCCAGCCCCAGCCCTGGGGCTCTATAATGTTTCCCTCTGCCCTGAGGTGCTTCATTTATTCATTCATTCAACAACACCTTATAAGGACCTGCCATATGCCAGGCACCATGGGTATAACAGAGACCAAGAGAGGGGAGAGGCAGGGCCCAGCCCAGGGCCCTTAGACCTTGTGGGCAGGAGAGACACAATCTGTTGCTGTGTGGCACACACCTAGGAGTGTGACCATAGGGAGGCCGAGGGACCTGGGGATCGGGGGCCTCTGGAGGACTGACCTGGGCAGGGCTGGACCATCTAAGCTGAGATCTGAAGGGTGGGTGGCCAGGTAGGGTGTCAGGGCCCAGGCTCCAGGCCCCATATGGCCTGGTGTGTCACATCCCTTTTCTGCCTCTTTCCTTTGCAGGTGCTGGGTGAACGCTCCATGAGTCAGGCAGCTGAGTGATGCAGTGTCTGACTCGAGCCTGCTCTGCTCCTCTGTGTCACACACCTGCGCAGGTGGAGCTTTGGATGGCACAGAGGGCAGGCCTTGCTCGGCATCAACACAGCTGGGCCTGGTCTTGGGCCTGGGCCCTTCCCCCACACCCAGGCCTCCATACTCCTCCCTCCTGGCACAGGAGTCACCTTTACAGATAGAGCCATGGTCTCAGACATGAGTCTCTGTCACCTGCTTCCCATGAGGTGGGGGGAGGTTTTCCAGGGCCTGGCATGGCCCTGCCATGTCCTAGATCATTCCCTGGGACCCTGGCCATCAGCAGCACCTCCCCCACAGTTGGGCCTGGCTGCCGGGTACAGTTAGCTCCACGGGCTGGGCCAGGGGCTGGGCTCAGGGATGGCTCTGTCCCTCCGTGTGGGGCCCACAGGCTTGCTGGGCCTCTCCCTCCTTCCCAGCCAGCATGCAAATCTAGGGAGCAGCTGCAGGGATAGGGCAGAGCTTGAGCAACACTACCCTGCCTTGGGGTGCAGCCTGTTCCCAGGAAGGGCTGGACTGGGGCCCTGGGTTCCTGAGGTCTAGGAAAAACAAACCAGTTCTCAGGCCTGGCTGGTGGCGCCCACAGGTGAAGGCTGGCGCCATACCAGTACCTGGGACCAGCATGAGGACACCCCTCCATGGAGCTCTTGGGTGGGTCTTAATAATCAGACAACTTGCTATGTCCCTTGGAGGCACTGGCATTCAGGGGTCTGGCCACAGGTGCCCAGTGCCAAAGTCTGGGTGATGAGGGAGAAGCCCTCAGGGTGTGAACTGAGGGCTTCATGGTCCTGCATGAGGTGAGGAGAGGCCTGCAGAGGGGTGTGGCCACAGAGCCAAGGAACCGTGGGAATCTCAGAGTCCCAGGACTACAGGCTCTTAGCAGTATGGGCTTGCAGAACACAGAACCTTAGAATTTCGGAACTCAAAGAATCTGAGTGGGAATCAGGTACCCTAGAGGTGGTTCATTCTCTGCACATTAGGACACGCTCCCACGAGGGCTCTAGGGAAGGACTGAGGAGTTTGTGCTCATGCACAATTCCTGGGATCTCTGCACTGCTACGCCATTGCTCCCTCCACCTCCTGCTGTAGCCTGGAGCTTATGGCTGCCAACTCATAGCTCAATGGGGTAGGATCAAGGGTGGTGAACACAGAACCCTGGTCACTTTCCTTCCTCACTCCCCTGCCTTCATTTGCTCCCAATATCTACCCACCCATCTATTTATTTACCATCCACCCCTTGAGCCATCCACCCATTGACCCATCCATCCATCCATTCATTCACCCACACACTCATCCATCCATCCATCCATCCATCCATCCATCCATCCATCCATCCATCCATCCATCCATATCCATCACCCATCCACTCATCCACCCATCCATCCTCCATCCATCCATCAATTTACCATATGTCCCTCCATCTAGCCAATAAGTATTATTTAAAGTGTACCAACTGTTTGCCAGGCAGCATGTTGGGTTATATGCAGAAATACAGATGTGAACAAGGAACATCTGCACCCTCACAGAGCTCACCTTCTCAGGGTATCATTCTGTAAAGGCAACAAAATGCATTCTGAGATGTCAGGTATGGACAGGGCCTGTGAAGACAAGTGGATAGAGTGACCCAGGAAGGGTGGACCAATGGGTCAGACCTTTTGACCACCTGAGGGAGACATAGATGAAGTGAGTGCTGCTGGCATAATGTGGCTTTTCCCTAGTCCCTCGTAAGGAAAGAGCCCCAAGGCATTGACTACATCCTTCCAGACTGTCCCCTTAAGGATGGGCCACTTCCCACCAGCTGCCCTGCCCTCAGGATGGGCCTTCACCTTCTTATTCTTCCTCTGGTCCTCTTCTTGACCTTGGGGAGTTCCTGCCCCACCAAAGGCTCTCTCTCTTGTGAGTCAGTGTAGACCAGCTCCAGGGGAGGTCCCAGCAAGACTGTGGACATAGTGGCCTTTAGCACTTCCCAGGTAAGGACCACCAGGCAAGGTGGTCTGCAGAGGTTTTGTCCCTCCAGGCCCTGTCTCCAGTGGGATGTCCCCACCAGTGGGCACTGCCCTCAGACTATCTATGTGTCCTCTAGGAGATAGTTACAATGATTTCTCTCTTTCTCTACCCCCTCCCCACTCTTCCCTTTC